CATGGAAACCATTGACCCATGGAACCATTGACCCATGGAACCATTGACCCATAGAAACCATTGACCCATGGAACCATTGACCCATGGAAACCATTGACCCATGGAACCATTGACCCATGGAACCATTGACCCATGGAACCATTGACCCATGGAAACCATTGACCCATGGAACCATTGACCCATGGAACCATTGACCCATGGAAACCATTGACCCATGGAACCATTGACCCATAGAAACCATTGACCCATGGAACCATTGACCCATGGAACCATTGACCCATGGAACCATTGACCCATAGAAACCATTGACCCATGGAACCATTGACCCATGGAAACCATTGACCCATGGAAACCATTGACCCATGGAACCATTGACCCATAGAAACCATTGACCCATGGAACCATTGACCCATGGAACCATTGACCCATGGAAACCATTGACCCATGGAACCATTGACCCATGGAAACCATTGACCCATGGAAACCATTGACCCATGGAACCATTGACCCATGGAACCCATGGAACCATTGACCCATGGAACCATTGACCCATGGAAACCACCCATGAACCATGAAACCAACCATTGACCCATGGAAACCATTGACCCATGGAACCATTGACCCATGGAAACCATTGACCCATGGAAACCCATGGAACCATTGACCCATGAAACCAACCATGGAACCATTGACCCATGGAAACATTGAACGATGGAACCAGGGACCCATGGAACCATTGACCCATGGAAACCATTGACCCATGGAAACCATTGACCCATGGAACCATTGACCCATGGAAACCATTGACCCATGGAAACCATTGACCCATGGAACCATTGACCCATGGAAACCATTGACCCATGGAAACCATTGACCCATGGAACCATTGACCCATGGAACCATTGACCCATGGAACCATTGACCCATGGAACCATTGACCCATGGAACCATTGACCCATGGAACCATTGACCCATGGAAACCATTGACCCATGGAACCATTGACCCATGGAACCATTGACCCATGGAACCATTGACCCATGGAACCATTGACCCATGGAAACCATTGACCCATGGAACCATTGACCCATGGAACCATTGACCCATGGAACCATTGACCCATGGAACCATTGACCCATAGAAACCATTGACCCATGGAACCATTGACCCATGGAACCATTGACCCATGGAACCATTGACCCATGGAAACCATTGACCCATGGAACCATTGACCCATGGAACCATTGACCCATGGAACCATTGACCCATGGAACCATTGACCCATGGAACCATTGACCCATGGAACCATTGACCCATGGAACCATTGACCCATAGAAACCATTGACCCATGGAAACCATTGACCCATGGAACCATTGACCCATAGAAACCATTGACCCATGGAAACCATTGACCCATAGAAACCATTGACCCATGGAAACCATTGACCCATGGAACCATTGACCCATGGAACCATTGACCCATGGAACCATTGACCCATGGAACCATTGACCCATGGAACCAGGGACCCATGGAACCATTGACCCATGGAACCATTGACCCATGGAAACCATTGACCCATGGAAACCATTGACCCATGGAACCATTGACCCATGGAACCATTGACCCATAGAAACCATTGACCCATGGAAACCATTGACCCATGGAACCATTGACCCATGGAACCATTGACCCATGGAAACCATTGACCCATGGAACCATTGACCCATGGAAACCATTGACCCATGGAACCATTGACCCATGGAAACCATTGACCCATGGAACCATTGACCCATGGAAACCATTGACCCATGGAACCATTGACCCATGGAAACCATTGACCCATGGAAACCATTGACCCATGGAAACCATTGACCCATGGAACCATTGACCCATGGAACCATTGACCCATGGAACCATTGACCCATGGAAACCATTGACCCATGGAACCATTGACCCATGGAAACCATTGACCCATGGAACCATTGACCCATGGAACCATTGACCCATGGAACCATTGACCCATGGAAACCATTGACCCATGGAACCATTGACCCATGGAACCATTGACCCATGGAACCATTGACCCATGGAACCATTGACCCATAGAACCATTGACCCATGGAAACCATTGACCCATGGAAACCATTGACCCATGGAAACCATTGACCCATGGAAACCATTGACCCATGGAACCATTGACCCATGGAAACCATTGACCCATGGAAACCATTGACCCATGGAACCACTGACCCATGGAAACCATTGACCCATGGAACCATTGACCCATGGAAACCATTGACCCATGGAAACCATTGACCCATGAGCCATGAAACCATTGACCCATGGAAACCATTGACCCATGGAACCATTGACCCATGGAACCATTGACCCATGGAACCATTGACCCATAGAAAACAATTGACCCATGTAACCATTGACCCATGGAACCATTGACCCATGGAAACCATTTACCCATAGAAACCATTTACCCATAGAAACAATTGAACCATGGAACCATTGACCCATGGAAACCATGACCCATGAAACCATTGACCCATGGAACCCCATGGAACCACTGACCCATGGAACCATTGACCCATGGAAACCATTGACCCATGGAACCATTGACCCATGGAAACCATTGACCCATGGAAACCATTGACCCATGGAACCAGGGACCCATGGAACCATTGACCCATGGAACCATTGACCCATGGAAACCATTGACCCATGGAAACCATTGACCCATGGAAACACTGACCCATGGAACCATTGACCCATGAAACCATTGACCCATGGAACCATTGACCCATGGAAACCATTGACCCATGGAACCAGGGACCCATGGAACCATTGACCCATGGAACCATTGACCCATGGAACCATTGACCCATAGAAACCATTGACCCATGGAAACCATTGACCCATGGAACCATTGACCCATTGAAACCATTGACCCATGGAACCATTGACCCATGGAACCATTGACCCATGGAACCATTGACCCATGGAAACCATTGACCCATGGAACCATTGACCCATGGAACCATTGACCCATGGAAACCATTGACCCATGGAACCATTGACCCATGGAACCATTGACCCATGGAAACCATTGACCCATGGAACCATTGACCCATAGAAACCATTGACCCATGGAAACCATTGACCCATGGAAACCATTGACCCATGGAAACCATTGACCCATGGAAACCATTGACCCATGACCCATGGAAACCATTGACCCATGGAACCATTGACCCATGGAAACCATTGACCCATGGAAACCATTGACCCATGGAACCATTGACCCATGGAACCATTGACCCATGGAAACCATTGACCCATGGAACCATTGACCCATGGAACCATTGACCCATGGAACCATTGACCCATGGAACCATTGACCCATGGAAACCATTGACCCATAGAAACCATTGACCCATGGAACCATTGACCCATGGAAACCATTGACCCATGGAACCATTGACCCATGGAACCATTGACCCATGGAACCATTGACCCATGGAAACGATTGACCCATGGAAACCAAACCATGACCCATGGAACCATTGACCCATGGAACCATTTACCCATTGAACCAATGTACCAAAGAAACATTGACCCATGGAACCATTGACCCATGGAACCATTGACCCATGGAACCATTGACCCATGGAAACCATTGACCCATGGAAACCATTGACCCATGGAACCATTGACCCATGGAAACCATTGACCCATGGAACCATTGACCCATGGAAACCATTGACCCATGGAAACCATTGACCCATGGAAACACTGACCCATGGAACCATTGACCCATGGAAACCATTGACCCATGGAACCATTGACCCATGAAACCATTGACCCATGGAACCATTGACCCATAGAAACCATTGACCCATGGAAACCATTGACCCATGGAACCATTGACCCATGGAAACCATTGACCCATGGAACCATTGACCCATGGAAACCATTGACCCATGGAACCATTGACCCATAGAAACCATTGACCCATGGAACCATTGACCCATGGAACCATTGACCCATGGAACCATTGACCCATGGAACCAGGGACCCATGGAACCATTGACCCATGGAAACCATTGACCCATAGAAACCATTGACCCATGGAAACCATTGACCCATGGAAACCATTGACCCATGGAACCATTGACCCATAGAAACCATTGACCCATGGAACCATTGACCCATGGAACCATTGACCCATGGAACCATTGAACCATGGAAACCATTGACCCATGGAACCCCATGGAAACCATTGGACCCATGAAACCATTGACCCATGAACCCATGGAACCATTGACCCATGGAAACCATTGACCCATGGAACCATTGACCCATGGAAACCATTGACCCATGGAACCATTGACCCATGGAACCATTGACCCATGGAAACCATTGACCCATGGAAACCATTGACCCATGGAACCATTGACCCATGGAAACCATTGACCCATGGAACCATTGACCCATGGAACCATTGACCCATGGAACCATTGACCCATGGAACCATTGACCCATGGAACCATTGACCCATGGAACCCCCCCATCCCCCCCATCCCCCCCACCCCCATCCCCCCCTCCCCCCCCCTCCCCCACCTTGGGTCCCAGCACCGCTGGTTCCTGGCTCAGCGCCGCCTCCAGCTCCCGCAGGGCCCCGCACAGGAACCGCCTCCGCCCGCGGTGCAGGGACCCGCTGGGGGGAGGGGAGGGGAGGGGTCACCCCATAGAACCCATGGGGGGGAAATGGGGAACCCAGGGAAGCACCCATGGGACACAGCGGCACCCATGGGATCCGGTGACACCCATGGGACCCGGTGACACCCATGGGACACAGCGGCACCCATGGGATCCGGTGACACCCATGGGATCCGGTGACACCCATGGGACCTGGGGGCACCCATGGGACCTGGGGGCACCCATGGGACCCAGTGACACCCATGGGACCCGGTGACACCCATGGGACCTGGGGGCACCCATGGGACCCAGTGACACCCATGGGACACAATGACACCCATGGGACCTGGTGGCACCCATGGGACCCAGCAGCACCCATGGGACACAGCAGCACCCATGGGACACAGCAGCACCCATGGGACCTGGGGGCACCCATGGGAACTGGTGACACCCATGGGACCCAGTGACACCCATGGGAACTGGGAGCACCCATGGGACCCAGTGACACCCATGGGACCGGGGAGCACCCATGGGAACTGGGAGCACCCATGGGACCCAGTGACACCCATGGGACCTGGTGACACCCATGGGACCTGGTGACACCCATGGGACACAGCAGCACCCATGGGACGCGGTGACACCCATGGGACCCGGTGACACCCATGGGACCCGGTGACACCCATGGGACCCAGTGACACCCATGGGACGTGGGAGCACCCATGGGACCCAGTGACACCCATGGGACCTGGTGGCACCCATGGGACCCAGTGACACCCATGGGACCTGGTGGCACCCATGGGACCCAGTGACACCCATGGGACCTGGCGGCACCCATAGGACACAGTGACACCCATGGGAACTGGGAGCACCCATGGGACCCAGTGACACCCATGGGACCCGGTGACACCCATGGGACCTGGTGACACCCATGGGACACAGGGACACCCATGGGACCTGGGGGCACCCATGGGACACAGGGACACCCATGGGACCTGGGGGCACCCATGGGACCTGGTGACACCCATGGGACCTGGTGACACCCATGGGACACAGTGACACCCATGGGACCTGGGAGCACCCATGGGACCTGGTGACACCCATGGGACCCAGCGGCACCCATGGGACCCAGCGGCACCCATGGGCGCCCCCCCACCTGTGAGCCACCGCGTAGTCCCGGCACTCCTTGACATCGGCCACGCGCTTCCCGCACCTAGAGAGGGAGCAGCACCCATGGGATACACACAGCACCCAATGCGCCCCATAGCACCCAATGCGCCCCATAGCACCCAATGCGCCCCATAGCACCCCATAGCACCCAATGCGCCCCATAGCACCCATGGGATACACACAGCACCCAATGCGCCCCATAGCACCCAATGCGCCCCATAGCACCCAACGCACCCCATAGCACCCAATGTGCCCCATAGCACTCAATGCACCCCATAGCACCCAATGCACCCCATAGCACCCAACGCACCCCATAGCACCCAATGTGCCCCATAGCACCCAACGCACCCCATAGCACCCAATGCACCCCATAGCACCCATAGCACCCAACGCTCCCCATAGCCCCCAACGCTCCCCATAGCACCCATAGCACCCAATGCACCCTTAGCACCCATAGCACCCCATAGCACCCAATGTGCCCCATAGCACCCATAGCACCCATAGCACCCAATGCACCCATAGCACCCATAGCACCCCATAGCACCCAATGCACCCATAGCACCCATAGCACCCATAGGACCCCAATGCACCCATAGCACCCCATAGCGACCTATAGTGACCTATAGCACCCATAGGGCCCCAATGCACCCATAGCGCCCCATAGCACCCAATGCTCCCCATAGCACCCAATGCGCCCCATAGCGCCCCATAGCACCCCATAGCACCCAATGCACCCATAGCACCCATAGCACCCAATGCACCCCATAGCACCCATAGCACCCAATGCACCCCATAGCACCCATAGCACCCAACGCTCCCCATAGCACCCATAGCACCCATAGCACCCATAGCACCCATAGCACCCAATGCACCCCACAGCACCCATAGCACCCACCCCCCCCTTACCCGCGGACGCCCCCCAGCAGCTCCTCGGCGGCCCCGTGCACCTCCAGCGCCTCCTCCCGCAGCAGCGAGACCCGCAGCGAGCCCCGCAGCGCCCGGCGCCAGAGCTGCAGGCACGGGGCCGCCGAGCCCAGCGCGCAGGGGCACAGCAGGAACCCCACTGCGGGACCCACAGGGGGCAATGGGGAATCGATGGGGCGGGACCCATAGGGGGCAATGGGGAATCAGTGGGGCGGGACCCATAGGGGGCAATGGGGAATCAGTGGGGCGGGACCCAGAGAGGGCAATGGGGAATCAGTGGGGCGGGACCCATAGAAGGCAATGGGGAATCAATGGGGCGGGACCCATAGGGGGCAATGGGGAATCAGTGGGGCGGGACCCATAGGGGGCAATGGGGAATCAGTGGGGCGGGACCCATAGAGGGCAATGGGGAATCAGTGGGGCGGGACCCACAGGGGGCAGTGGGGAATCAGTGGGGCGGGAGCCATAGAGGGCAGTGGGGAATCAGTGGGGCGGGACCCATAGGGGGCAATGGGGAATCAATGGGGCGGGACCCATAGAGGGCAATGGGGAATCGATGGGGCGGGACCCATAGGGGGCAATGGGGAATCAGTGGGGCGGGACCCATAGGGGGCAATGGGGAATCAGTGGGGCGGGACCCACAGAGGGCAATGGGGAATCAGTGGGGCGGGACGCACAGGGGGCAATGGGGAATCAGTGGGGCTGGACCCATAGGGGGCAATGGGGAATCAGTGGGGCGGGACCCACAGTGGGCAATGGGGAATCAGTGGGGCGGGACCCAGAGAGGGCAATGGGGAATCAGTGGGGCGGGACCCATAGAAGGCAATGGGGAATCAATGGGGCGGGACCCATAGGGGGCAATGGGGAAGCAGTGGGGCGGGACCCATAGGGGGCAATGGGGGGGACCCATAGGGGGCAATGGGGAATCAGTGGGGCGGGACCCATAGAGGGCAATGGGGGGGACCCATAGGGGGTAATGGGGAATCAGTGGGGCGGGACCCATAGAGGGCAATGGGGGGGACCCATAGAGGGCAATGGGGAATCGATGGGGCGGGACCCATAGAGGGTAATGGGGAATCAATGGGGCGGGACCCATAGGGGGCAATGGCGAATGAATGGGGCGGGACCCATAGAGGGCAATGGGGAATCAGTGGGGCGGGACCCAGAGAGGGCAATGGGGGGCACCCATAGGGGGCAATGGGGAATCAGTGGGGCGGGACCCATAGGGGAAGGGAATCAATGGGGCTGGACCCATAGAGGGCAATGGGGGGGACCCATAGGGGGCAATGGGGAATCAATGGGGCGGGACCCATAGAGGGCAATGGGGGGGACCCATAGGGGGCAATGGGGAATCAATGGGGCGGGACCCGCAGAGGGCAATGGGGAGGGCATAAAGGAAGGGAATCAATGGGGCGGGACCCATAGGGGGCAATGGGGAATCAATGGGGCAGGACCCAGAAAGGGCAATGGGGAATCAGTGGGGCGGGACCCACAGAGGGCAGGGGGGGACCCATAGAGGGCAGTGCATCAGTGGGGCTGGACCCATAGCGGGAAGGGGGTACCCAGAGCAGGCAGAGCATCAATGGGGCCCCCAGCCCCACATCCAGCCCGGACTCACGGAGGATCCAGCGCTCCATCACCTCCAGGGACAGGTACTCACAGGGCATCTGTGGGGCCCGCGTCACTGCAGTCCCGACCCACGTCTCCACCCCACATCCCCACCCCACATCCCCACCCCACATCCCCATCCCAGCCCCACATCCCCGCCCCACATCCCCACATCCCAGCCCCACATCACCACATCCCCATATCCCCAACCCACATCCCCATCCCAGCCCCACATCCCCACATCCCCCACCCCACATCCCCACCCCACATCCCCACCCCACCCCCCGCCCCACGTCCCCGCCCCACATCCCCATCCCAGCCCCACATCCCCATACCCCATCCCCACATCCCCATCCCCACATCCCCATCCCCACATCCCCATATCCCACATCCCCCATCTCCACATCCCCATCCCCACATCCCACATCCCACATCCCCCATCCCACATCCCCATCCCCATCCCCACATCCCCATCCCCACATCCCACCCCCCATCCCCACATCCCCACCCCCCACCCCACATCCCCACCCCACATCCCCATCCCCACCCCCCATCCCCACACCCCATCCCCACCCCACATCCCCACATCCCCATCCCCACATCCCCATCCCCACATCCCCACCCCACATCCCCACCCCACATCCCCATCCCCACCCCCCATCCCCACACCCCATCCCCACCCCACATCCCCACCCCACATCCCCATCCCCACCCCCCATCCCCACACCCCATCCCCACCCCACATCCCCACCCCACATCCCCATCCCAGCCCCACATCCCCACATCTCCACATCCCCATCCCCCCCCCTCACGCTGTCCGAGGCGCAGGGGCTCAGCAGGGCCGCGGGGGCGCTGAGCAGGCTCAGGTCCCGCTCCCCCCTCCAGCGCTCCGCGTCCTGGCTCCGCCGCAGGAACAGGGGGTGCAGGGAGCGCAGGGCCCCGCTCAGCGCCTGCGGGCACGGGCGGGGCCGTGGGGCGGGGCCGTGGGGCGGGGGGGGGTGGGGCGGGGGGGGGGGGGGGGGGTGGGGGGGTGGGGGGTGGGGGGGGGGGGACCTTGGTGTGGGGCGCGAAATCCTCCATCAGCTTCTTGAGGGGGTGCTCGTAATCCAGCACCAGCTGCGCCACGCGGGGGAAGGCGGGATCGCTGTGGGGAGGGGGGAGGGGATGGGGCGGGATGTGATCATCATTGATCATCATCATCATCATTGATCATCATCATCATCATCATCCATCATCATCATCAATCATCATCATCATCATCATCCATCATCATCATCATCATCATCATCATCATCCATCATCATCATCATTGATCATCATCATCATCATTGATCATCATCATCATCATCATCATCCATCATCATCATCATCATTGATCATCATCATCATCATCATCATCATCATCATCCATCATCATCATCATCATCATCATCATCATTGATCATCATCATCATCATTGATCATCATCATCATCATCATCATCATCATCATCATCATCATCATCATCATCATTGATCATCATCATCATCATCATCCATCCATCCATCATCATCATTGATCATCATCATCTTCATCATCATCATTGATCATCATCATCATCATCATTGATCATCATCATCATCATCATCATCATCATCATCGATCATCATCATCATCATCATCATCATTGATCATCATCATCATCATCATCATCATCATCATCATTGATCATCATCATCATCGTCATCATCATCCATCATCATCATCATCATCCATCATCATCCATCATCATCATCATCATCATCCATCATCATCATCATCATCCATCATCATCCATCATCATCATCATCATCATCATCATCATCATCATCATCTTCATCATCATCATTGATCATCATCCATCATCATCATCATCATCATCCATCATCATCATCATCATCATTGATCATCATCATCATCATCATCATCATCATCATCATTGATCATCATCATCATCGTCATCATCATACATCATCATCATCATCATCCATCATCATCATCATCATCCATCATCATCATCATCATCCATCATCATCATCATCATCATCCATCATCATCATCATCCATCATCCATCATCATCGATCATCATCATCGATCATCATCATCGATCATCATCATCGATCATCATCATCGATCATCATCATTGATCGTCATCATTGATCGTCATCATTGATCATCATCATCATAATTCATCATCATCATCATCATCATTCATCATCATCATCATCATCCATCATCATCATCATCCATCATCCATCCATCCATCCATCCATCCATCCATCCATCCATCATCCATCACCCATCATCCATCCATCCATCATCCATCCATCCATCCATCATCCATCACCCATCATCCATCCATCCATCCATCCATCCATCCATCCATCCATCATCCATCACCCATCATCCATCCATCCATCATCCATCCATCCATCCATCATCCATCATCCATCCATCCATCCATCCATCCATCCATCATCCATCATCCATCCATCCATCCATCCATCCATCCATCATCCATCATCCATCATCCATCCATCATCCATCACCCATCATCCATCATCCATCATCCATCATCCATCCATCATCCATCATCCATCATCCATCCATCCATCCACCCATTCATCCATCCATCATCCATCCATCCATCCATCCATCCATCCATCATCCATCATCCATCATCCATCCATCATCCATCACCCATCATCCATCATCCATCATCCATCATCCATCCATCATCCATCCATCCATCCATCCATCCATCCATCATCCATCCATCATCCATCCATCATCCATCATCCATCCATCCATCATCCATCCATCATCCATCCATCCATCCATCCATCCATCCATCCATCCATCCATCCATCATCCATCCATCATCCATCCATCATCCATCCATCATCCATCCATCATCCATCCATCCATCATCCATCCATCCATCCATCCATCCATCATCCATCATCCATCCATCCCATCCCTCATCCCCCCCTCATCCCCGCGCTCCCGGTACCCGCTCCCGGTGCTCAGCTCCCGGGCGCACTGGTAGAGCCCGATGAGGATGCGCCGCTCCTCGACGCGCGCCAGCAGCACCAGCGCCGACACGAAGGTGACCACCAGCTCCAGGTAGGCCTTGGTGAGCTCATGGTTCACGTGCTGCCATAGGGACACCCCAATACATGGAGGGGGGGGGGTGGCCCCCAAACCACCCCCACCCCACTTTGGGTCCTCCCCACTTTGGGTCCCCCCCAACTCACGATGTCGAAGAAGCATTGGTTGGCATCGATGGTGTTGAGGAGCTCATAGACGTGGTCCTGGACATGGGGGGCACCGTGGGGCTAACCCGAACCCTAACCCTAACCCTAACCCTAACCCCCCCAAACCCTGACCCCCATTGTGCCCCCCACCCCGGCTCACCCTGAACTCCAGCAGGTCCAGGAAGGAGAGGTAGAAGGGTTCCAGCGCCTCCAGGATGGCCCCTTTGGCCCTGTGCAGTGGGGCCAGGAGCTGCTGTGGGGCGGGCAAGGGGGGCACAGAGGGAGGGGTGATTTGGGGCGGGGGGGGGAGAGCACCATGGAGGGGATGGGGAGCCCATAGGGATGATGGGAACCCCATAGAGGGGATGGGGAAACCATAGAGGGGATGGGGACCCCATAGGGATGCTGGGGACCCCATAGGGATGCTGGGGACCCCATAGGGATGCTGGGGACCCCATAGGGATGATGGGGACCACATAGAGGGGATGGGGAAACCATAGAGGGGATGGGGACCCCATAGGGATGCTGAGGACACCATAGGGATGCTGGGGATCCCATAGGGATGATGGGGACCCCATAGAGGGGATGGGGACCCCATAGGGATGATGGGGACCCCTTGGAAGGGATGGGGACCCCATAGGGATGATGGGAACCCCATAGGGATGCTGGGGACCCCATAGAGGGGATGGGGAAACCATAGAGGGGATGGGGACCCCATAGAAGGGATGGGGACCCTATATGGATGATAGGGACACCATAGAGGGGATGAGGACCCTATGGAGGGAATGGGGACCACATCGGGATGCTGGGGACCCCATGGGGGTGCTGGGGACCCCATAGAGGGGATGGGGACCCCATGGGGATGCTGAGGACCCCATAGGGATGCTGAGGACCCCATGGAGGGGATGGGGACCCCATGGAAGGGATGGGGACCCCATAGGGATGCTGAGGCCCCCATAGGGATGCTGAGGACCCCATGGGGATGCTGAGGACCCCATAGGGATGCTGGGGACCCCATGGGGATGCTGAGGACCCCATGGAGGGGATGGGGACCCCATGGAAGGGATGGGGACCCCATAGGGATGCTGAGGCCCCCATAGGGATGCTGAGGACCCCATGGGGATGCTGGGGACCCCATGGAAGGGATGGGGACCCCATGGGGATGCTGAGGACCCCATAGGGATGCTGAGGACCCCATGGAGATGCTGAGGACCCCATAGGGATGCTGGGGACCCCATAGGGATGCTGGGGACCCCATAGAGATGCTGAGGACCCCATAGGGATGCTGAGGACCCCATAGGGATGCTGGGGACCCCATAGGGATGCTGAGGACCCCATAGGGATGCTGGGGACCCCATAGGGATGCTGAGGACCCCATAGGGATGCTGGGGACCCCATAGGGATGCAGAGGAACCCATAGGGATGCTGGGAACCCCGTTACGGCCATGGGGTGCCCCCCCTCACCACGCTGCCCCTCAGATCCAGCTGAGGGAACCTCTTGCTGATGACCCTGCCGGGACCCTCCAAGGCCTTGTCACTGAGGCAGCGCGGGCGCCGCGTGGGGTCGGAGCAGGTCTGGGGGGGGGGGGGGGGTCCCCGAGGGTCAGAACCCCCCCAACCCCCCCCCCCCAACCCATCCCCCATCAACCTCGGTCCTTCAGCACCAGCAGCCCCCGTGGGGCAGCCCCATGGGACCCCATTGGTCCCCATGACCCCCAGCCCCATTGGTCCCCCTCCATCTCCATGACCCCCATCCCCATTCGACCCCCTTGGTCCCCCCCAGCCCCATTGGATCCCTTTGGTCCCCCCCCATCCCCATTGGATCCCCTGTGTCCCCATGACCCCCATCCTCATTGGTCCCCCTCCATCCCCATGACCCTCATCCCCATTGGACCCCTTGGTCCCCATGACCCCCATCCCCATTGGATCCCCTGCATCTCCATGACCCCTATCCCAGGTGGGGCAGCCCCATTGGATCCCCTGTGTCCCCATGACCCCCATCCTCATTGGTCCCCCTCCATCTCCGTGACCCCCATCCCCATTGGAGCATCCCCATTGGACCCCCTTTGTCCCCATGACCCCCAACCCCATTGGATCCCCTCCGTCCCCATGACCCCCATCCCCATTGGACCCCCTTGGTCCCCCCCAGCCCCATTGGATCCCTTTGGTCCCCCCCCAGCCCCATTGGACCCCTTGGTCCCCGTGACCCCCATCCCCATTGGATCCCCTGTGTCCCCATGACCCCCATCCCCATTGGACCCCCTTGGTCCCCATGACCCCCATCCCAGGTGGGGCAGCCCCATTGGATCCCCTTGGTCCCCATGACCCCCAATCCCATTGGATCCCCTCCATCTCCATGACCCCCATCCCCATTGGATCCCCTCTGTCCCCATGACCCCCATCCCCATTGGACCCCCTTGGTCCCCCCCAGCCCCATTGGATCCCCCCCCCCAGCCCCATTGGATCCCCTGTGTCCCCATGACCCCCATCCCCATTGGTCCCCCCTCCATCTCCATGACCCCCATCCCCATTGGAGCATCCCCATTGGATCCCCTTGGTCCCCATGACCCCCATCCTCATTGGTCCCCCTCCATCTCCATGACCCCCATCCCAATTGGAGCATCCCCATTGGATCTCCTCCCCCCCATCCCACATAGAACACCCCCATTGGACCCCCTGGGCCTCCACGACCCCCATCCCCCTCAGACCACCCCATTGCACCCCATTGGCTCAATGGGGGGGGGGGTACCCCCCTGTACCCACCTTCTTGATGTGGTAGATGCGCACCAGGACCCCCCGGCCCCTCTCATTGAGCAGCGTCAGCTTCTCAGCCAGCTTCAGCTGGTACCTGGAGGGCAGCGCCATGGGGCCAGGACCCCCAACACCCCCCTTGGGACCCCCAAAACCCCCTTAGTGCCCCCAACACCCCCTTAGTGCCCCCAACACCCCCTTAGTGCCCCCAACACCGCCTTAGTGCCCCCAACACCGCCTTAGTGGCCCTACAGCCCCTTTGGTGGCCCCACAGCCCCTTCGGTGGCCCCACAGCCCCACTTCCCCTTCCTGCTATGGGGCAGGCCCCACGTGATGCTGCCACCACCCAGTGACGTTGTCACTGGGGGGGGGGGTGGGGGGTGTCCAGGGCCCCACGGCATCACCCAGGGCCCATAGGAGGCCCCTATGGGGCGATGCAAGGTGCTAGAGAAGGACAAAGGGGATGTATAGGGGCATCCGGACCCATGGTGCCAACAGCAAGGGGCCCTATCGCCCTGCCAGGACCCATATAGCATTGACCAGGACCCACATAGCATTGACCAGGACCCATATAGCATTGACCAGGACCCATATAGCCCTGCCAGGACCCATATAGCATTGACCAGGACCCATATAGCATTGACCAAGACCCATATAGCATTGACCAGGACCCATATAGCATTGACCAGGACCCACATAGCATTGACCAAGACCCACATAGCATTGACCAGGACCCACATAGCATTGACCAGGACCCACATAGCATTGACCAGGACCCATATAACCCTATCAGGACCCATATATAATGGACCAGGACCCACATAGCATTGACAAGGCCCATATCGCCCTGCCAGGACCCACATAGCATTGACCAGGACCCATATAGCATCGACCAGGACCCCTATAACCCTTCCAGGACCCACATAGCATGGACCAGGACCCCTATAACCCTTCCAGGACCCACATAGCATGGACCAGGACCCCTATAACCCTTCCAGGACCCATATAACCCTTCCAGGACCCACATAGCATCGACCCTTCCAGGACCCCTATAACCCTTCCAGGACCCACATAGCATTGACCAGGACCCCTATAACCCTTCCAGGACCCCTATAACCCTTCCAGGACCCACATAGCATTGACCAGGACCCCTATAACCCTTCCAGGACCCATATAGCATTGACCAGGACCCCTATAACCCTTCCAGGACCCACACCTCCCTGCCCATCTCCATACCACCCTTCCAGGACCCTTCCAGGACCCCCTTTTATCCCCTGCACCCCACCCAGGACCCCGTTACCATAACAACCCCTTTGGCTCCGCCCCCTTTCCTCCCACCCCTCCCATACGGCGCCCCCTAGCGGCCGTTACCATAGCGACGCGCGCGGTGCCTCCGGGCCTGGTCCCCTTCTTCCTCCTCCTCCTCCGCCATGGAACCGGAGGCTCTGGTTCAGTGCCCGTTCGAGCCCGGACACCGGGTGCGGAGCTGCCGCCTGCCGTACCACCTCGTGCGGTGCCAGCGGGTGAGCGGGGCACCGGAGGGTTGCTTGGTTTGCGTGCGGCCTGCAAGGCCTCGATGTGCGGCCTGCAAGGCCTCGATTTGCGGCCTACAAGGCCTCGATTTGCGGCCTACACAGCGAGCTGGGAGCGGCGGCTGCGGTGCGGGCGGGGAATGACAATGCCGCGGAACAAGGGGAGGTCAGAGCCCTGCGTGCGGGCAGGAACAGGCCCGGCTTCCAGGAGGGGTTGGGGAAGGACCCGTTAAAGAGTGGAGGGGAGAGGGAGATGGGGACGGCAGGATGCCCATGAGCCAACGCTGTGCCCTTGTGGCCATGGCGTCATGGGGTGTGTTAAAGGGGGGTGGTCAATGGGTCGAGAGGGGTCCTCCTTCCCCTCTGCTCTGCCCTGGGGGATGATTCCTCAAAGCCATGCTTAACTCAGTGTTGTTTCCCTCTGCGTTTATCCTCTAAAGTTATACATATTCATAAGGTCGCACAACACGCCTAGACAGCAACTCTCTGCATCAATAGGACCAAGAGTCTGCTTTCCTTATCAATAGCTGATCAATAGGACCAAATGTCTGCTTTCCTTATCAATAGCTGATCAATAGGATCAAATGTCTGCTTTCCTTATCAATAGCTGATCAATAGGATCAAATGTCTGCTTTCCTTATCAATAGCTGATCAATAGGATCAAATGTCTGCTTTCCTTATCAATAGCTGCTGATCAATAGGATCAAATGTCTGCTTTCCTTATCAATAGCTGATCAATAGGATCAAATGTCTGCATTTCCTTATCAATAGCTGATCAATAGGATCAAATGTCTGCTTTCCTTATCAATAGCTGATCAATAGGATCAAATGTCTGCTTTCCTTATCAATAGCTGATCAATAGGATCAAATGTCTGCATTTCCTTATCAATAGCTGATCAATAGGATCAAATGTCTGCATTTCCTTATCAATAACTGATCAATAGGATCAAATGTCTGCTTTCCTTATCAATAGCTGATCAATAGGATCAAATGTCTGCTTTCCTTATCAATAGCTGATCAATAGGATCAAATGTCTGCTTTCCTTATCAATAGCTGATCAATAGGATCAAATGTCTGCATTTCCTTATCAATAGCTGATCAATAGGATCAAATGTCTGCTTTCCTTATCAATAGCTGATCAATAGGATCAAATGTCTGCTTTCCTTATCAATAGCTGATCAATAGGATCAAATGTCTGCATTCCTTATCAATAGCTGATCAATAGGATCAAATGTCTGCTTTCCTTATCAATAGCTGATCAATAGGATCAAATGTCTGCATTCCTTATCAATAGCTGATCAATAGGATCAAATGTCTGCATTCCTTATCAATAGCTGATCAATAGGATCAAATGTCTGCTTTCCTTATCAATAGCTGATCAATAGGATCAAATGTCTGCTTTCCTTATCAATAGCTGATCAATAGGATCAAATGTCTGCTTTCCTTATCAATAGCTGATCAATAGGATCAAATGTCTGCTTTCCTTATCAATAGCTGATCAATAGGATCAAATGTCTGCTTTCCTTATCAATAGCTGATCAATAGGATCAAATGTCTGCTTTCCTTATCAATAGCTGATCAATAGGATCAAATGTCTGCTTTCCTTATCAGTAGCTGATCAATAGGATCAAATGTCTGCTTTCCTTATCAATAGCTGATCAATAGGATCAAATGTCTGCTTTCCTTATCAATAGCTGATCAATAGGATCAAATGTCTGCATTCCTTATCAATAGCTGATCAATAGGATCAAATGTCTGCTTTCCTTATCAATAGCTGATCAATAGGATCAAATGTCTGCATTCCTTATCAATAGCTGATCAATAGGATCAAAT